AATGTTTTTATTGAAATGTTTCAACACATGTTGAATGATTTGTACTCATCACTTGACTCTCTGCTTCTACAATGAAATTGTACATATGACTCTGGAGTACAGGCGATTATAGGAGAGTACTGCATAATTGTTGGATCCACTCTTAGAGAAGATATGCTGTCGGTTATGAATTCCACTGGTGTTGTGGAAGCCCCTTGTGCTTATAGAAAATATATGTATATATGACGTCCAATAAATTAACCCCTGTATTTATCTGAGGATAATAAAAATCGCAGCCACAGATATCATGCTTATTATTGCTATTCATGGACAACTCTGATATATTCATACTATGACTGTTCGTATTTTATGTTTTATGATGCAGAACAAAGTCTATCACTCTGATATCACCACCTTGTAATACAGACGCAAGGAAGCGGATAAATAGTATAGATCTTGTTACTGTCTTTCTACAGACAGAGCTATGAAGCCTTGTCAGAATGGGAGAAGACTAATACTGTGGTGCTAATTTATTTGAATCTTCATGTACACAGATCTAAATAGCCCTCATTTGTTGGTGGCATTCCCATAGTTCAGACCAAATTGAGAGATTTTTTACTTATAATTACGATATATGCCTATTATAATGTCATTGTGGACAATCAATCGTTTATATTGGAATTGTTAGATTACCGTTTTGTATTAATGTTGTGTGCAGTCTGAATAAACATGCTTCTTCTATAAAATTATATCTATGTCTATGATATATTATACTGTATACTCTCATTGTGCAGACATTATTCGACTGATTTTTTACGTGTCAAATCACAAAGCTATCAGTAATTTATTGCTACTACTTCAAAAAGGAAAGCAGATAATTAGCCGCGAGATGGCTGTTACCCTGTTTATTATTAACCTGCAAGAAAATGCCTCCCCAATTTGTGATAAAAATATTTTAAGTGTTTTTTATTGGTTGTCAATTTGTGATATTCACTTCGTATATCTATCTGTATGTGCCTGGAGAAAGGATTCTATGAAAATTAGAAAGAAATTTAGAGGAAGAATGCACCACACCCTATGGGAATAAGTGGGCACCTCTCCCGTTTAGATAAGAATATAAGAAACAATCAGTGGGTTGAAAGAATCTTCTGGTGTATGTTCGTTTTACTAAAATGAACTCCTCACTATAATGATAGTATATGAACAGGTATAATCCCCCTCTGTATAATGCCTTCAGTACTTCTTAATTATGTTTTGTATAGACTATTATCCTAACATTACATAAAGGCAAATGTCGTTTAAGTATGAAGAATAGTGACATCCGGTTTAAATCTGATTATTAGGAAATAGAGAGAATATCATAACTCTTAATTAATATATTTTATTTGAGAGCGTTAATATAGTTATTAATGAAAGTATTTATATTTATTTATGAGGGATGTTTATGAATCATTTCTTTCATGCAATGTTTTACTGAGAGTTTATTATGCATAAGAAGTGTATTCATTATTTCCACTAAATATCTTATAGAGAACTATCAGCCTCCCTATCTAGGCTCAGAACTGACAAGGTCAAAGTGCATACTGTACTGAGCCGCTATTGTTCCTTAATATGAAAAAGGATGCTTAAATTAGGGAGAATGCCGTTGGCATATATATACATTGAAGTGCGGAATTCTGGTAGTGATTCAAGGATAGGTTTTACTGTAAGATGTGGGTAATATGAGAGAGGATATTCATAATGTTGTATTATAATACAAGACATAAACACTGTATAGATATACATTTGATTTAGAGAGGGAATACCATAAGTATTAATGGACACCATTATGGACCTTCATGTCACTACTTAGTAATTGTAATATTTAATAATACAATTTTAAGCTTTATGCGTCAGTACGACTGTTGTTATATTTATATTGGAATATCCTTCTATGCTTCGTATGATCACTATCATAGCATGAATAACGCTTTTGGGACATGTCTGAGGATTAATCAAAGAATTATGCATTAAAAACAGGAAAATGAAGGATTTGCACAGTTCAGTTTTGAGAGGAATATATGCTCAGAATGGGAAACCCTTTGACATGATTTGGGAATTTCCTTTTAGCTTACACTATAAGGGGTTTATTAAGATATGCTCTATGTCAATTTAAAGAAACCACAGAATAGGATACCCTGAAAGCATGCAACTACTAATGCTGAGTCATAGTATAAGAA